GCCGCCGGCACTTCCGGGAGCCCTAGGATGCTCGAAGGACCCGCTCCCGGGACCGGGCGGGGGACTGGCCCAGGGGACGGGTTCAGGGGAGGGGCTCGGGGGAGTGGCTCAGGGACCCGGAGTGCCTCCGAGCGGTGGCCCTGCGCGCCGGGCGGGGCGGGCTGTCCCTGGAGCTGTCCGAGGTGCTGGGTTGGACTGGCGATGGGGCCTCGGAGGTGTCGGTGAAACAGAGACTTTGGAAGGGAACGAGCAAGGGGACCGGGCGTGTGGGGCCTGAATGTCGTAGGAAGGGCTTTGGAAAGCAAGCAAGGGACACTATTTCAACTTACGGCTCTAGAAGACTCTCTAGTCGATGGGAGTGGGGGCGGGGAGGGGAGTTCTGGTTTGTTGGAGGGGTCTACGGGAGGAATAGTGCATGCTGGTTTGGACCGGGGTGAGAACATTACCGTCCACTGCTAAGGGAAGTCTATGAACTCTGCGGCCAGCTGAAAGAACTGAGTGCTTAGAAAAGAGCCGCAAGGGGGAGGAGATGGACACTGGCGTGACCACTACCTTCAAACCCTGGGGGCTCTTCCTACCAGTAAGTGCAGCCAGGCTACGACAGGCCGGGAGGGCAGAGCGGGGAGCAGCTAGGGGTTAAAGGACAGATTCAGAGTTGTCCAGCGGTTCCAGTTGCCTGTCCAGGTGGTGTCTGAGTAGGGCTTGGACAACTGCCTATGCAAGTGCACCTGCTTCGAGGGGCCAGATGAGACCAGAGAAGTTCCCAAACCTGGCACACTGTCAGCATCACTGGGGGTGATTCCCTGGCTGCACCCCAGGCCTACTGAATCTGCCTGCCCTGTTGTGGGAATTTATGTTTTTCAGCAAGCCCTGACACCAGCCTGGGAGATCCTCCTTCCTCAGCAGTCTGGGTCCAGCCCAGCCCCTCCTCAAACTCAGAGACCCCATTCCTGAGGTCTAGATATAGCCTGGGCCCCTCTAGCTCAGAAAGCCAGTCAGAGACACCTTCTGAGGGGATCTGGGAAGAACAGTTTATCTAGCTTTCCCTAGTGGAGTTGGAAAAATCCTGCCACATCTGGTTTAGTCTGGAGCCTTGGGTTTAAAAGATAAAGTCAAGGGGTCTGACCACTGATACACTGAGTGACCCCAGTGACTGTTTAATCCTAAAACAGTGCACAGGCCACCACCACGCTGCATGCCGGGAAAAGAGTTGGGTGAGCTGTGCTGTGTGGAAAGCAGCTGTCTAGGTGGGCACATGCTCAGCCCAGAGTGGGTGCTCAAGAAAGGTTTATCGACGGAATGAGATGGAAATAAATAAATGTAATACATTATTATGAGGGAGGATGTATTATTTTCCAGTTGGAAGGTGGGGGTTAGAAACTCTTACCTGTGAACTTCTGATTCTGGCCTGTGCTCTGCTGGTTCTCCACATAATGATCTAATTTGGTGCTCACAAATTGTGATATAGAATTATTGTTGCCAACTTACTGATGTGGCTCAGAGAGGATATGTATCTTGTCCAAGATGACAGAGAAATGAGTGGCAGAGCTGGGCTACAAAGTAGAGTGAATGTCCCAGGATGCTGGGAGAGCCTTCCTGCCTGCCCACATGCCTGCCTGCTTAGGGGCACATGGCACACAGCAGATGAGCCCACAGACCATGTGTTGGCTCTCCACTCTGGGCCATCACTAATCTAGGGTCTCTCAAAGACTGAAACCCTGGGGATATGGAGGGAGCCCCAGATGGAATGTTGCATAGCAACTGAAAAAGACAAGCACATAGACAACACTGGTATTGAAAACGTGTGTAGAGGACCTTACGGTTCTGTCTGCCCACTCCAGCATCCTGCGTCTCCTGAGTCAATTCCTAGTAAGACTTGTGCATCTACCTCCCTCCCTCTCCAATTGCTTCTGTTTCTCTGGAGAGCCTGACCAATATATCTTTTTTCTAATTAGGAAACAGATTTGGAGAGATTAATAATTTGTTCAACCTTACGGTTAAGTGTAGATTGGGCTTTAAGTTCCAAAGATTTTCTTAACCATTATGCCACACTGTTTATATTCATATAACAATAAAAACCCTTCTATCCAACTGAAAAGTCTCCACATCAAGGTTCATTTCTGTCCCTCATTTACTGACCCACAGGCACGTGCAGCCTGCTCCATATTCTGTATTCAGAGTCCAAGATGGTGATTAAGTCAGCTCCTGGGCCCTTGTGTGGGGTCTAGAAGCTCCTCAGAGGACCACCTTTCTTTAGGACCTTTATTTCTTTCTGGGACCCGAAGCAGATACTTCTACACAAGTGGTCACTTCCTGGGCTCTGACATTCACAGGGACCGCTTCCCTGGTGCCTTGCTACTTCTCACTCAGTGCCCCTCCCCCGTGGCCAGCCCTGGCCCCAAGTGGCTTTCTGCTGAGACTGTCCACTACCAGTGTCCCTGGCCTGTCCTTAGTTGTTGACAGAGCCTTTCCAGGAGCTCCTCTTATGGAGATTTGCTGTGTTCTTGGTGGCATGCAAAGGATTCTATAGCCGTCCTGCCAACTATCCTATGCAGTGCCAATAGACTGCTGTTCCTGTTCCCAGAGGAGCAAACAGGCACCATGATGGCCAGCAAGTGCCTGGGCTGGCATCAGATCCAGCGGACCCTGAACCTGGTCTCCCAGAGACCACTGGGTCACTTCAGGGAAGAGCACGAGGCTGGAGCCAAGGATCCCGGCCTGGGTGGGAAGGAGAGCAGCAGCCCCAGGTGATAATAGCGTCAGTGGGAGGTGCAGGAGAGTGGCAGTTGAACTAGACACACTCTCGCCTAAGCTGGACAGAGGCTCAGGAGCGGGCCTAGAGCGCAGAGGAGGAACTGGAGGATGACGACGGCCCGGGGGGTGGGTGGGAGGCAAGGCGTGACCCCTGTGCCCGAGTCACGAGGTAGCGGGACAGCGCACAGACTCCCGGCTGTACCTACGGACCCAGAAGCGGTCAGGGGACGAGAACGATAATGTCTTGTTCAGCCACATGCTGACAAACCCGGGCGGGCACAACAGGTAGAGAGGGTGCCCTGAGGAGTCCTCGTCTGGGTCCTGCCAGGAGCTAGGGGTTCTCGGGAAATGCTAAATGGATCAGACGCAACGCTCGAGAATCCGAAAATCCGTCCCAAGCCCGCAAACACACATGCCGTCCAGGCCATGTCTGCGGCATCGCCTGCAAAGGGAGGACAGCCCGACGCCTAGGCGCTGCGGCTTGGGGCGGCCAGCTCTACGCGCCCGGGAGCTCCCGCCCTGCCTCCAGCCTGGTCCGGCCCGGCCGCCGCGCTCTGGCTCAGGTGCGCTACCTCCTGGACGGCCCAAGACGGCGTGGAGGACTGCCGGGCTCTGCTCTCGGGTGCCGTGGTGCAGGCATCCGAGTCCAGCCTTGGCGCTGAGGCTGCGGGACGACCCTTCTGGAGCACAGGCTGCCCCTGCCACTCCCCGCCCGCCCTGCTTGGGGCCTCGCTGCCCCAAGGCCGAAGCCTCACTTTACCCGCGCAGTATTAGGGACAGAGGGGAGTCGGGAGAAGGCGGGCTTCCCTCGTCTTCTAGGGTGTCACAGTGAACCAGCAAAAACTTAAGGTGCCTTGACCCTGGTGGGGGAGTCCAAAGCACTTGGTGGCCTCAGGGCCATGGGAGTGTAGCCCGGGGAGGCGAGCAGCCCAACCGCACGGCCCGCTGATCAGAATCACAGGGACAGGAAGAATGGGGATGTGGGACTCAGAGTTGCAGCCTCCCGAAGTGCCAGTAACTCCTCAGCCGGGGGAGTCTCAAAACTGCCCAGGGGGGAGCAGGGGGGCAGGGAGAAGTCACCTCGCCCTGCTGAGCTCTTCCCTTTACCACAGGGGCTGGAGGTCTGAGAGCTACAGGGCAGTCAGGGCAGATCTGAAGACGGCCAAAGCCCCACCCAGCTGCAGCTGCCTGCACCTGTCAAGAGAGGAACCTCCTGGGCCCCCAGCTTCCCCAGGCAGCTGTTAAGGCTGGGCAGGAGCGCCCTCCCCTGAAGCTCATGGGCCTCAGGCAGCCACCGTAAGTGCAGAGGCAGGGCGAGAAGGCAAAGAGCAGCTCTGAGGGCTTGCCGCAGGGAGAACACACTACAGGCGTCCTCCCAGCCACGGGAGGGAACGGAATTACCACAGATCGCAGCCCAGGGCGAGAGCCGGTGGCCTGGGCCAGCCCTGTCTTTGCCGGACCCGCTCTGGGTCTCTGCATCTGGCAACACCCATCTTGGGGTGCTGACCATCCCTGGCTAGGCTCCGGGTAAGTCCTGACGCCTCCAAGCCTCGGTCCCCAGTGAGCTCGGTGGGCTCTCCCGTAGGCCTGTCACTCCTGCTGAGACAAGCCCTCAGGGGTGAGAAGCGACCCTGTGGCCTTCCTCCTGTTTCCATCAAGTGAAAAGAATTTATTCAGGACATGGCACGTGCTACTGGTTGTGCCAGCCAGTAAGGGTGAGAAGGCAGGAGCCCTCCCCGCCATCCAAGGCTGCTGCCCCACGTCCCTCCGAGGCTCAGCCACGGCCCCTGCGCCCGCTACTCCCGGTAGTGGACCCTCTGGTGCTGGATGAGCTGGGAACTCTGGCCGAAGGCCTTGCCGCAGGCGCCGCAGGCAAAGGGCTTTTCGCCCGTGTGGGTCCGCAGGTGCCGGAAGAAGTGGGAGCGGCCGCGGAAGGCCTTGCCGCAGTCGGGGCACTCGTAGGGCTTCTCGCCCGTGTGGATGCGCTGGTGCTCGATGAGCACGGAGCTCCAGATGAAGGCCTTGCCGCACTGGCTGCAGGCGTACGGCTTCTCGCCCGTGTGCAGCCGCTGGTGCCGCACCAGGTTGGAGCTCTGGCTGAAGGCCTGGCCGCACTCGCCGCACTCATACGGCTTCTCACCGTTGTGGATGCGCAGGTGCTGCGTGAAGTGTGAGCTGTGACTGAAGGCGCGGCCGCACTGGCCGCACTCATAGGGCTTCTCGCCCGTGTGGATGCGGTGGTGCTGGATGAAGCCTGACCAGCCGCGGAAGCGCTTGCCGCACTCGTGGCAGGCGTAGGGCTTCTCGCCGGTGTGGACGCGCTGGTGCTTCAGCAGCAGCGAGTTGTACCTGAAGCTCTTGCCGCAGGCCTCACACCTGTGCGGCTTCCCGCCCTGCGGGCCGGCCGGCCGGGCCCCGGGGCCCACACCCAGACCGAAGCTGTC